CTGCCCTTTTACCCTAAATTCCACTGGGCAGTAATATTTTTGCTGATAATGTATCAAGCCATAGTGCACACATTTTGGCAACTAAAACTCATTTCTGAATCAGCAGGGACCAAAGAAAGTTTCTCAGATCAGGGAAACCCAAGCTGGGATTCCCTTTGATCTAATTTAGTTTAGGCCCTGTGTAATATGAATATATCAGAATTAGAAAATAGACTAAAATGTACTAAAGCAAAGTATAAATTTTTTAAGTGCTGCTCCTATTATATGCTATTTACATGTGAACAATTTCAACAATGCTTCTTTTCAATATGGATACCAAACACTGGCTAATAAACCAATTTCCTACAAGTGCTCCCTTAATTACTTTGAAAGCATACAGTAACAAGATGTGCCTTGGAATTATTACATAAACTTAAAATCAAGAATGAATTTTACCAGAGATTTTCTGTTTCAAAACTCTAAATGAAGTCTACGTGGCTATTATGCTGTAATATAAACCTGGGCCACGAGGAAGGGAAGTTCTCATCTCATTTACATTATTGTAAAGCAAGAGTAACTCAATTAAAGTCAATAGCTTTGAACTTTCTTAAACAAGACAAGACCTATAAGGGATTACAAGGTTGTTTTAAGCATGCCCAGTTAGAAAAAAAAAAGTCTTATCAGGTTTTATTTACATGGCCTGCAGGAATCCAAGTGGTACTGCCTCACTTTGCTGCTACTAGATTGTTTTTGGGTGCAATTTAGCACAGCTCTATGCAGTATTTTAAAAGCAGATCTCTAATTTCTCCTCATGCTCTGCCTTCACTCCCTCCCCACCATCCCTGCAAAAAATAAAAAAGCTAATATTAATTGCAAAGCCACAGACAGCTTTACATTATAAATAGGTAAAGTCTTGAAGACAGCAAACACAGGAAGTTTTTACTCACATATTGAGATCCAGACTGAAGGCAGCAGGGTAATCTAATCTGATTTCCTGTATATCATACTCATAAAATGTGAATCAAATTATTCTTAGGACCATAACTCGGGTTTGACTAAAGCAAGTCTTTCTGAAACACAACAGGCCTAAGATGAAAGCCTTAGAGAGAGGGAATTAGTCACCTCCCTCATGACTTCATTCTGCCTTAGATTTGCCCTCACTTTAAAGAAATTTTGATCACGAGTTTGTTTATATTCAGTTAATCATGTTCTTCCCTGATAGATTAAAGAGCCTGCAGAGTCTTTGTCCCTGCGGAGATACTCAGATTATACAAAATCTTTCAACCTTTTTTTTTTGTTTCTCTTAATACCCTGAGGAAGGCTGAGCTCCTTAAGACTCTCACTGTTAAGATTTTTCAGTCCTTGACACTTTGGAAAGGCTGTTCTCTGCCTTTGGTCCTATATTTTAACACTGATGCATAAAGATGCATTATTGTATGTTTGTATCATCTTCCTGCTGCCACGTAGAAACAGGAGTACTCCCCCACCTACCCTAAAACTCATACATGCAGCTTCTCTGATTAAAATACATAGGCCCAGTTGACACGGGGGTACAGCTTGCTGTTTGCCTGGTCTACTCCCTGTATCAAGCATAAGGTTTGCTGCTGATATGTTAAAAATTTACCTTGGATAATTAGATGCACTTGTTCAAAACCTAAAAAAGGCCCAGGAGAATAAAAATCTGAGCTCTATTAAGGAGCAGAAAGAGGGAAGCTACAGAGGGAACCAGTGCGTGTTTAAATACAGAACCTGTTCTGCCATCATTATGGCAAAGATGGAGAAGAGACTCCAAAAGTGAAGCTTGCCTCATGAATAAGGAAAATTACATTAAGACATTAAAACTGACATGACTGATATTAAGAAAAATCAGATAGTCACATCTTTAGCTTTTCTTTTCAACAAGAACTGGTCAGTAAACATGGGCCAGGGAGATACAGGATAAGCATGGTCATAAATACAGTATTTGGCTAGTTGTTAAGGCTGGAAATTAATTAAACATACGATTAACACAATAGGTAAAATATCCCTTCAGCTTGGAAAAGAGCTTTCATTTCCAGTGCCAAAGTCAAGTTAGGTTACCTAGACAATTTCAGATATACATAGAATCATAGAATTGTTAAGGTTGGAAAAGACCTCCAAGATAATCAAGTCCAACCATCAACCTAGCATCACCACCATGTTCACCACGAAACCACATCTTTGAGTTCCATATCCACATGGTTTTTGAACACTTCCGGGGATGGTGACTCCACCACTTCCCTGGGCAGCCTGTTCCAATGGTTTGCAACCATTTCTGTGTTTTTCCTAATATCTAATCTAAACCTCCCCTGACACAACTTGAGGCCATTTCCTCTCATCCTGTCACTTGTTACTCGGGAGGAGAGACCAACCCACACCTCCCTACAACCTCCTATAAGGTAGTTACATGGAGAAATAAGGTCTCCCCTCAGCCTCCTTTTTTCCAGGCTAAACATCGCCAGCTCCCTCAGCTGCCTCTCACATGACTTACTCTCCAGACCCTTCACCAGCTTCATTACCTTTCTCTGGATACACTCCAGAATCTCAATGTCTTTCTCATAGAGAGGGGCCCAAAACTGAACACAGTTCTCAAGGTGGAGCCTCACCAGTGCCAAGTACAGGCAGACAATCACTTTCCTGGTCCTGCTGGCCACAGTATTGCTGATACAAGCCAGGATGCCATTGGCCTTCTTGGCCACCTGGGCACACTGCTGGCTCATGTTCGGTTGGCTGTCAACCAGCACCCACAGGTCCTTTTCCTCTGGGCAGCCTTCTAGCCACTCTTTCCCAAGCCTGTAGCACTGCATGGAGTTGTCGTGACCAAAGTGCGGGATGTGGCACTTCACCTTACTGCACCTCACGCAACTGGCCTCAGCCCATTGATCCAGCCTGTCCAGATACCTCTACAGAGCCTTCCTACTCTCCCACTCAGCATGGTGTTATCTGTCAACTTGCCAAGGGAGGACTTGATTCCCTTATCCAGGTTGTTGATGAAAATATTAAATAAGGTTTAATTTTTTAATTAATTTTTATCCAATACTGAGCCCTGAGGAACACCACTTGTCACTGGCCACCAGCCACTCTCTGGGCCTGGCCATCCGACCAGTTTTTACTCAGCAAAGAGTACACCAGAAGCCAATTCCTGAAGAGAGGACTCAGGATATTCCTTCCCTTGGGACCCTTGGAAAGCACAACTCACTGCAGAAAGGCAGCTTCCCAACTCCGCAAAGCCATATGAAATGAAATATGTACTGATTAAATTTTTATACAAGTACAAAAAAAATCCTTGAAATTATCTTTAAAAAAGACATGGTCCCATCATGGCATGTGGGTTGGAAAAGCTTGACATGTGTACATGCTTAGCTTAGCTGATGCACACGGAAAGTTACATCAGAGCAGTTATCTGAATTTAATCATGGTGGTGGGCATGCAGAGTATTTGGGTGGTGGCAGTCTTTCACCTTACCAAGGATAACCTGCTCTAAGATTTAATTTTCCCTCACAACTGGGCTGCTGAATTGGAGTGGAAAATAAATCAATGTGACAACTATGTGAAGACCTGGGCAGCAAAAAATTCCACCAGAAAGGCCTCTATTGAAAGCTGAGAATTACACAAAGCCTAAGGAACATTAGGAATCAAGCCTGCTGGTTTATAGAAGTACAGAAGGGGCATACATCTCTGGTCTCTACAACACTGGTTTATATTAAGCTTTATTTTAAGAGTAATGATTTACATTAGCTGTGTTTCAGTCCCAGTGCCAAAGATGCCAAATAAATATCACATACTCTCCAGGGCTTTCCACCACCCTTCCCCACTGCATTTTAACCATGCAAATTAGACAGAATTGACATTGGAATGCTTAAGTCTGGGAGAGAACGATGGATTTCCCATCCTTGGGGCATTTTTCATCCTGTTTATATGAATACAGACATGCTGGGTATATAGTGCTCATTAGACGGGTTACAGAATATTCAGCATGCAGGCACTCACTGGCCTGATTTGTAAGGTCCAAAGGCAAAGTTAAACCCATATGAGTTCACAAGCAGTTCTTCATGAAGCCAAGGGACAAAGAGGTACCACCCAGGACCTTGAATAGTTCAAGATGGCACTGATTCCTTTTCCTTTATGAAGGAGGAAAGCAGGGGATCAACATTACTCTCAACATGTTGGAGCAATACCCACAGAAGTAACATATGCACAGAGGCACCTCCATCTCTAGAATCCTATGAACATAAGCACATTAGTCATCGTGGCATCCCTGAATGCTACACTAATACTGACTCCTTTTATAGTCAGGCGAATCCAGAACCATAGAAGCCTTGCCTAGCCAATGTAGCACTTCTTAAATCCATCACAGTTCATTCTCAGTGGCCTGTCCCAATACAGCACTGAAGCTGCTGAGCTGAGAGGATCTGCTGTTATCAAGCAGGAGGGGGAGACACAGCCTCAGCTTTCCATCAGTTTCCCAAAAACAGAGTTGTGGCTATCTCTTTCAACAGGCCTGACCTGTTCCTCCTTCCAAAAGGCGTGGACAGGCAGTTGGTCAGAGAGGAGGGCCATAAAAACCAGCTCCTCACAGCCTCACAGCAAAACCACAGCACTGGTACTGCCAAGAATTCAGTTCACATTCTTCAATCTCTGTGGTAGCCACTAGGCCGCACGGTCTCCTTCAATGCATTTGCATTTTATTAGGTTTTTTCATGCACCAAGGGACAAAAGAACAAGCCACTTCCTCCCACTGAGCTCTCATTTCACACTTCAAATGGTCTCTACTAACCTTTATGGTGAAGCAGCTGCCAGGGAGGAGGGGCGGGAGAAGGCAGGCAGTGCTAAGATGACCGGACAAAGCAGTTTCTGAAGATGCAGCCTCAGATCCTCTCCCAGCAACCCAGAGGAACCCAAATCAGTCAGAGCAACACCTTACCCTCTTGTCCCAACTCAGGGACCCTCAGACCTCTGCAACCACCTGAGTGGCGTTCAGCCAGAGTGCTTTCTGGACTCACCTCCCACCCCCAGTAGGTGCTGCTGAGTTAATAGCCTGTACCATGTCTGTTGTCAGAGCATCAAGTAAGCTGGTAATAAATTCAACTTTCTTCCCTTCTGGGCAGCCTGCAAAAAGAAAAGAGGAGGTTTAATGCAAGAACACACAGGCTTGGTCTCCTACCCCAATTCAGCAAGGATCAGCCAGAACCTCTTTTGTTTTTAAGACGGCAGCCATCAACACAGTCCCTAAGGAGAGGCAGAAGAATCCCTCAGTGGGATTCTCTGCGTGGCAATTTGTCCTGCAGCTTTTGTCCAGGCACATGCAGGGTCATCAACAATATCTGGCAGGAAGACTGTGTGGTTAGCTTTATGGTCTCATCCAGTTCTCTACCAGCAAAACCGCAGGGATGTGCTGGAAGCACCTGACAGACAGGAGTTCCCATGGTGACACTTGCAGAGAAGTTTACAAAACAACTCATTACCTCCTGGGTCATCTTGCAATGCAAACATGGTTGTTCTGAGGTCCTAACTGACGTGTTAAAAGTCTGATAAGAGTACTTTAAACACACATGCTTAAAACATCACAGAGTACAAAGCAAGGTCTGCCGCTTGCACTCTCCTCTTCAGGCACAGAGAGCACTGCCTACCAGCACCTACCACAATAATTCAGTTCTTTGCATGATCACATTCATAGGAAATATGTTAATCTGAGTCAATATGTGGCAGTCACCCCCAGTCACTGCTGGCTTAAGTAGGATAAAGCAGGTTGAAGATGAGCTTGGTAACCATTTCCATTACTTAGTGAGGAGGCCACCTAGTCCCCCATCATCATAACCACAGACTGACAGAGCCTTCTATCCTAAACAGCACCAATCTGTTATGATGAAACTCTCCATCTCCTTACCTTTAAAAGGCAGTCTGTGCTGTTTCCTTGCATTCTTAAAGCATGCTTCACTTATTACTACACAAATACTGTAACAATTGCTCTAGCCCACCACAGAACAAGCATGCTTAACTTCAACCCACCACCTTCAAAACTATTGTCCAAACGCCATTACCCTCCCATCCTGTTGTTTTCTCTTCATGTGATAGAGAAGCCATCATTACATCCCTCACCTCTTTCCCCAAACCACCATGCACTACCTCAATTACTCAGCTGATTAAGGCAGCAGACATCAGAAAACAGCCTCCCACAGCAACATATAGCAGTGTCAACACTTTCTGCTTTTCTCGAATAAGACAGAAGCACATGTACCCCAAAGAGAGCACCGGAAACTTACTGTCATCCCTTGACAGCTGAAAGCAGCTTGCAAACTGATCTGACAAAACTCTCTCCTTTGCAGTGTTACAGGCTCTGTTCTCTGCAATAGCTAACCAACAGTTCTTTGCCTGTCTCCGTATTATGTACATTACACACACGCACACCCCTCAGCACTTGTGTGGCACATGGTCCAGAAAATGTCAGCATTGAATGGGTAAGCTTCTATTGCAGCCAGAGTAGACCACTCACTTAAAGGAGCTTTTTGTTGAGGTAATGAAAAGGATGAAAAACTGCTTGCTAGAAGTCATTTCCCTGGGGTCACAGCATCTCACAGTCTGAAGGAATTAGCAGTTTGCCATTTGCTATATACGAGCAACATTTTCCTTCCTTCTTTCTTTTTTTCTTCTGGCCATAGTCATGACAGTTTCTGAAGAGGGTATGTGTACATGTGCAAGGATCTGAACTTCTGTCTCCTTCACCTTGGCCTCTGCAGGGTCTCTCCACATAGGCCAAGGAGCACACTGCCTGCAGCACTGAGAGTCTTAAGAATGGTCAAACCTCCAGAAGAGGCATAAAGTAAGGGGTCCCTTGACAGAACTGAGTGCAAATGGAACAATCAATCTCAAATTAAAGCAGGGGTTTTTCTTAAAATTCAGTTCTGCTAAGAAATAAGACCAGAAAAAAAACCAAAAAGAAACATTCTCACCCCCCGCACTTCTGAATTTTTGCATACAAGAGCAGTCAATCAAACAAACCTCAAGACTGCATTAAAAAGATCATGCAGCACAGCATCTCTCAGGCAGACAAATCAGCATTAGATCCTCCATCTCCTCATCTCTCCATAGACGGGTATTTTCAGTGACAGGAATCACCACAGAATCACAGCATGTGGTTAGGGTTGCAAGGGACCTCAAGGATCATCTAGTTCCAGCCCCCTTGCCATGGACATGGATGCCATTTACCAGATCAGGACCCAATCCAATCTGGCCTTGAACACTTCCAGGGCTGGAACATCTAAAACTTCTCTGGGCAACAATCATGCCAACCAATGCAGCCAAATGCAGAACTTAAAGTTTACTCGGGCATGGAAAAGTGGCTTGAACTGAGAGGGCAACTCTCCTGCAGTCTGATATTGGGACCAGACCACTAAGCTACAGAGCATCCTGTGTCGTCTTCTGCATCAAGCAGTTCCTGTCCCCTTGTCTGGCTTCAGTGGAGAAGGGAAAGGAGAAGGGAAATTAAACCATTCTGTCTGAGATCAGCGATAGAGTCTCAAAGAAAAAGCCCATAAGCAAAGGATTTTCACAGAGGAGCTCTGGAGAGGCAGGGGTGAAGTGCAAGGACAGGCAGTAAAGCAATGGGAGAAGGGGATGGGGAAATCAAGGAAGTAAGGTTATTCTATTTTAGTGTGATTTCCTAAGGAAATGATCCTTAATGCAACCATTTAGCTGGTTTCCCTCCACCTATCATCCAACTTGAACCAATTGGTCAATTTCCTTTGAATGTGAGAAAAAGGCAGATAGAAATTTCTACACGACTTGTGAAAATGAGGAGCTGCACAGGAGAGAGCCCTGCTGAGGGCAGAGTTGCTAAGCAGAAAGCTATGGGGTCTGAGGTCAGGAGTCAGCAGGAGGAGAATTAGAAGACACAGAAGGCAGATCTGGTACAAATCTCATTTCCTTTGTGAACATGCTCAGGAACAACTTGTTTTATGCTAGCCATAGAGAGGACCAGCAGAAAGTAAAGCAAATCCGTAGCTAACAGCTCTTTCTGCAGAGTTATTGGTCTCCACCACTCCCTCATGGTGGAGAGGGACCCACTGTAGCTTCTGTTTTCAAGCAGTCCCCACCCAGGAGAGCAATGGTTGACCCAATGTCAGTGAAGACCCCCTCACTCTGCTCCTTAGAAAGGCAGTAGGAAGGAAAAACCAAAACACAGGCAGATGGGATACCATTTTTTAAGAGCCACGCAGGCAGCTATGCCCAAAAAATGTTCCTAGTAGAAAAAAGATGGGCAAACAGTAAATTATGGCTTGTCAGGGAAAAGCAGAATAGAAGACATGCAGCACTGGGAAATAAAGTGCAACCCAGGCAGAAAACAAGGGATAAAGTCCAGCTAAGCGAGAAGCCATCATTAGCTAAGGGATTTTAGTACACCAGGAATGCTGTCCTGCCTGGTCCATGCAGTGTCAGGGAGCAAAGTCAGTCAACTAACAATTGCCAATTGTGTCCTCTTTCATAACTCAAGGGGCACCAAGTTGCTGAAAAGCCCTACTGAATGGAAAGGGTCCTGTCCTGGTCAGAATTTGAAGAACATACAATGCTGAGCCCATTCTCCCCCCAGAGTATTTTTTGGCATCCAGGTTTCTTTCCTGAGAATTCCGATTCCAGATATGTTTTCAAAGGGCAGACAGGCAATAAACAGGCCCCCCAGGACACTCCCAGCCTTTTCCAGCTCACTGCTGAAACTGGAGATAATCCAAAATAACACAGAACAAACCCCACGGTAAAGCATGCATGAGGAAAATCCTCCATCTCCTCAACAATATTCTTGATCCCTTAAAGAGTCCCAAGGTAAGACAAGGTAAGAAGGGAGAGACAGTATCTTGTTCCTCTGACCTGGAAGTTCTCTGTCCTTGAATGGATCATCAACCTCTGTGCTCTTCGATCTGGCATCACTTTCACACACTGGAGTCTCATAGCTGAAAAAGGAGAAGTTCAGAAGCTGAACTGTGTGGCACAGCTTTAATGACATCACATGATCACCAGTGGGTTGTGCCTTATCTGCTTACTGCAGGGGAAACCAATAAACCTGCAGAAGAAATACCATTCTCAAGCATCTGTTTATGGACAGTCAGCAACAGCAGCAGAAGTGGAAAGAGAAGAAAGAACATACTTTGAAGTCCAGTACCAGCTACCAACTGAAACCCACAAAGAGGCACAAGGCCCTCTTCCTTTCCTCGTGGGCATAGGCTGATAATTTTTTCAAAGCTGTCCATGCTCTGCACAATCACTGTACCTATCGGTCCCAGCTCCTACTGGGCTGTTTTTACAGCTTGCCAGACCCACAGTTTGTTTCCAAACCCAAGTGAGAAAAGAATCCTCAGGTAGTTTTAAGATAGAGAGTAACTGGGGGAAAAAAAAATAATCTATCACTTGCTTAAAATCTACTAATGCACAACCAAGCAGTCTTCTAAATCCATACTGGTCAGGATTCAAGTAGCTACAGCATGGAATTATAAAGCAGATGATAATGCAAAGCCACTTGTCTTTTCACTGCTCATGCCCATAACCTGTACTGAAGCAAAGCATCAGTTCCTGATACCACCCAAAAGCTTCAAGACACAAACCAAAAAAGGCTGTTTTGAATGAGTGCTTAACACGGAGAAAAGTAAGGACAGTAGTTTCTATCCAACTCCTATGGAGAGGGAGCTGCATAGTAACACTCAACAGGGAACATCACATATGGCATTGTTCACTCTAAGGAAGGTAGCGCAGAGCTGACTGCTCTAGAGTGAGAAACTGATTTGATATGGCACTAGCACTTTTTTTTATATCTTTTCTTTCCAGCACCTCACCAGGCCTGCCTATAGCTCTTACCGAGTGGAAGTACCAGGCAGAGGACGTCCTGTGTCCACCAGGACACACCAGCAGTACCCAGTAGACTGGTGGCATTGCACTGGTTTGTAGAGTCCTCCAGGAGCACACTCGGGGATGACAATACCCTCACGGGGATTCTGCCTGGCCTCCTCCAGGGCGCTCTCCCTTTCCTGGTCGCAGGAGTGAACTTTCTCTGAAAGACAGAGAGGAGGTTGAAGGGAATGGGAAAAAACCCAAATCGAGATCACTTTCCTATGCTCAGCAGGATATAGGTATCCTTCACATCAGGAGCCCTTTGTGGCTGTTTCCCTCTCATCAAACACCAGTATGTCTACGTCCCCAGGAACTCAGAGCCTTCTACATTGAGAGCTTTCTCCTACATTTAGCTGTGACACAAGATTATGGATTATAGACATTGTCTGCCAAGTGCCCAGCATGTCAGAAACAGCAGGAAACACTCTTCCTGTTCACTTGAGTTCTGGAACTGAACTATCAAATAACAATAATTCACTATTACTGCAGCCATGAGGTGAGCATTTCCCAGATTATGTTTTCGCAAACTGATGGATCCTAAATTATGACTTGTATTTTCCAGTTAAACAAAGGAGGCAAACACCCTGCCCTACCCCACACTCTTCCCTCTCAACCTGCTCCTCTTGGGATCATGTTGGAGAGATGCTATTATGTTTTAACACCTCCTTATCCAGTGCAGAGAGCACCTGCACACACCTCAGCAAGGAACAGAATAGGAACAGTTCTACCCACACTGCCATCACCTCTCCACCCTGGAAAACAAAGGGCACCCAACACTGCTTCCTACCGAGGCGTAGGTAAGGCCCAGTCCCTTAATAACCTATTAAACAGAAAAGGGTATTTCCAAAGACATCATCGAACAGAGAACAGAGTACAGAGATGGTTCTTTGGCAGGAACCCAAGAACAGAAGAAGCCCAGAAGTGGCTTCTGCAGCCAGTCTGATACATAGGGCCCTAAGGCCACCTCTTTAACTACCACCCGCAGAGCACTGATGGATGCATGGAGAGTGCCAGGCTGCTCCCTCTTACATGGACCAGCCATTTAAGGGGAAAAATAAGTGCAGAATAAATGTGGAACGCTAAGATCAATTTGGCTCAACAGCCAGAAGTTCTCAAGTATTCAAGCATTCTGCCCTTTAATGAGTAGGAAAATTATTTCACTACCGAAGGTATCACAGTGAGAAAAAAGCAGTCAAGGCAGCTGATCACCTGATTTAATGCATGTCTAAGTCTAGGGTAACAAAAGACAACAATCTAACTTTTATCCTTAGGAGAGTGATGAAAAACAGAAGCAGGAACAGTTGTCCTCTTCTTCCCTAGCCTTCCTCTCCCTTGCAGTTTACTATGTTTTTTCTTTTTTTTTTTTTTACACATAAGCCACAAGACCCATAACTCCTTGCCACAGGCAAGAACTCCCTCAAGTTTTAAATACAGAATATTCTTCAACATGGACCAGCAATGACACCACAGTTCATCCCAAATCTTTAGATGTTTGCACCATCAGCCAGCAGACCTCAGCATCCTGCTCCCAGGTCTGGCTCAGCATACAACTAACACACACTCACTGTTTGCCTGCCTGTCTGCACACCGTCAGTTGTGTCTTTTATTTTGGTGATAAAGTATGGTGTTGAGAGTAATTTTTGTTCCATATTTGGGGAGCAGAAGGGGTGCCAATTCACAGCTAGAATTCCTCAGCTTGGTGGCAGCAGGTGCAACAAAAAACTCCAGCAGGTCTGCACAGCATCACCTGAGTACAGCATGCTTGGGTACCAGAAGAACTTTTACCGGTTGAAATTGAACTGTAGCTGAACGAGTCTTAAAACCCAAAATGGCCTCAGCTCTCCTCAGCATTTCAGATCACTGCCAAGGCTGGGAATGTGAAGGGCACCTAAACTTTGCCACACACAAACCCAAAACTGTGTTATTCAAAACACAGAACAAAAACTTTGAAGTGCGGCAAGTCTGACTCAAGCAGAGAAAAACTTGACCAGGAAGGAGCAGGAGGGGATAAAGTCAACAAAAACTGAAAGGGAGCTCAAGCCTCAGCTGATATTTAAGCTGACTTCACTCTGCTGACAGACTTCACATCTGAAAAAAAAAAAAAAAGACGCCGTAACTGTTCCCAAGCTGTACGTGGACAGAGAAGCCATTGAGTGAGAGGTTTGCAGGCTCTCTAACAAACCACTTACATCAGAGAGGCCCCCTCTTACCCACAGTCTGCCAACAGCAATTCACACCTTGGCCATCAGGTGAGGCGAATCATTCATGCAGCTTGGGTAAGCAAAAAAACAGAGGCAAAATTCCATATCATCTTTATATTATAAGCAAAAGAAAAAAACTGCTAAAAAGAACTACATTCCAGGAATTTTTCTATCTAAATCCCCAAAGCTTCCTGAGTGCACAAAGTCAAAACAAGATTTCTCAAGTCCTTTGAGTCTTGCAAAACTAGCAGTAAAATTACTCTGAAACAAAATAAAGTGGGTTTTCTTTGTCAGAACAGAGAAATATGCTACTTTTATTGAAATCAAGAAAAAAAAGTCTTTAATGAACTAGTATCTTATTTTACATATATTTGCAGCTAGGTATGCAAATTACACAGAATAAATGTACATATACACACATTTGTGCTATGCCATAAAAAAGAGAAAAATCTCTCTGCACGTATTAACAGAAATTTGTGGGAATTGAGTAGTCACAACATTTACTACCAGAATACATAACTAACTGGTAGTTGTTTCCTGTTTGAATGGTGTTTAAAGGCTGAGTGAAACAAATCTTAAAGCCTTTGTTCAGTTGATATCAAATAGATATCATGGCGTAAACTCTGCCATTGTCACCAGAATTCAGTGGCCCATCATTAGTAATGATGCAGTACAATCAAAATAGCAGGGAGATCACACTTTTCTCATTTCTAGTATACATCTAGAAGCAGCTGCTATGAAAGTTCTTCCCTGTATTGCAGATTTCTACTTCATCTCTTTTACACGCTGAAGTGTCCCAGCTGGTAGTTCTTCTCTGAACCCTTTCCAGATCCACTATACGTTCCCTGAGCTAGAGGAGATCAGAATGACAAACACATTGACTCTGACAACAGCCCTGTGGAAAGTTCCTTCAGTGACATCTATCTAGTAAGCAGAATATATTAACTAGTACTAGCCCCTGGAGAAGCTCTTTCCTTCTGGCTGCCACTCTAACAGCATTTAATTCCCTTAAAAAATAAACATGAGTATTAACAGTTGGGGTATTCAAAAGCCAGCAGAATCAGCTGGGAAATCCATACCATCAGCTTTCCTAGAATGGGACTTGGCATGAACTGCACGCACTGTCACCCTGAAAGATGGTCTCCTGAGTAACGAAGGGACCATCAAATGCTATCCCAGCTTCAGGACACTGAAGACTGCCTGTTCCAGTCAAACTGCTTACTGGAAACTTTGCTGTTGTTGCCAAGGCCACATTCATGGAGAACAGTGAAAGCCTATGGTCAAGCTAGAAAGCTTAATGCCAGGTATGAAATTAGGCTGTCATCTTAGAAAGTAGCATATATTTATTATACTCGCAGGGTATTTAAAAGCCTATTCCCTGTTAATGGGAGTTGCAGGCACAGAAAGACAAAGAAAGGTTTTCCTTCTTTCTCTAACTAAACATTTAGAGAAAGAACATTTAAAACAGCAAGGTGGACTCAGTCTTCCTAGGACAAAAAATAATATTATACTCATTTATTTCTTTATTTTAAAGGCACTGTCACATTCTGCTGTTTTCTGCCATCTCTGCTTGTCTGAAGACAACCATCAGCAAAGAAACTAAGTAACACTTGCCAGCTTGCTGTTGCTGGGGAGCAAAACCTTTGTAAATCAGCAAATCTAGATTACAAAAAAAACCAATTACAGTAAAAAAAAAAAATAGGGAATGTATGCACACTCACAAAGAAGAGAATTGCTGGCAGAAATCCATTTTACCTTAACTATTCAGCTCTAAAATGCTAACTGTTTGTTCCTTCTTACTCCTGGTTGCTCCTAACACTTATTAAAATATATTTTTAAAAGTAGTACCTCTGAAGCCATGAGGTATTGCAGGAAAACATGGCTTGGACATCTGCAGTTGCACATTATTTCTGCAACAATTTTCCCCTTAGTAATGGCCTTCTGAGAAATACACGGTCAGATTCATAAAAAGGTCTCTCATTCCTGGTCCCATAAGTACACACATTCAAACATATATCTAGTGCCTGCACAATAAAAATAAAAGTGATGGATGAGGTAAAGGAATCATCTAACTGTCTAATAAACTATATGGTTATTAAAGAGATGGGGTGTTTGTTTACTCTACAAAGCTGAGAAGAGAGGGTGTCTAGCAGCATCTAGCCAAAGGCTTGTGCTTAACAATTCTCATGCTCAGCTTGCAGGGCTAGATGCAGCCAACATGCTGCTCTGGGGACAAGGCAGACTCCTCCAGCTGCTCTCCTGACACATAACTCTCATTGCTATCAGAGCCAAAGGACTAAGCATGATTCACTGGGGCTGTTAGGATGCTGTGGATGATTAGGATAGGACTTAAGGAAGATCTACCATCCAACCACAGCAGATTATATTTTGAACATTGCTCTTTTGCACCCACAATTTTTTTTTTTTAATTAAAAGAAGGAAACACTGTGACACCAAAATCAAACACCCGTAAGAGTTCCCTACACCCTTGAGACAGGATTTCTTCTTCCAAACTGGGCAAAAGAGAGGATCTAGCCTTCCTCTGTGCTTCTGCCCAGCCCCAATGAACCTATATAAATAGCCTAACCCCAAAGCTACAGGCCATGCCAGGCAGGGCAGACTCCCTTCTCTTTCCCGCTCTCATTTCTTTTGACCAGAAATTCTGTCTGGACCAGAGAAACTTTTCCCATGGAGTTCCCACAAAAAGCTTCAGTTTTAGTGAACAAGCATTCATCACAAGGGGAGGAAAAGGTCTTTTACTGAAAAATTCTTGACCAATCAACCATTGTTAGTGCTGCAACAGGAACCTGACTTCAAAATACCATTTCAAAAAACAGAGCACATCTTCCCCAAATTTTTTTTTTTCAACTCCCAACTTTCCCCTCAGTGAGCAATTAGTGCAGCACAGAACAAAGGGCAGCAGCACAGATATCTAGTGCCAAGTTCCTATTGACATCCT